CTAACTAACTGTCCCCAAAAAACGCGGCATCCGATTGTTACGCAATGCTTTTACATCCGTACGATATACATACACCGTCCGTGCCTGCCCTCTGCATCGCCCGCGTTGGCCCACCTAAACGACCAAGGAGAAAAAATAATCATTGCGCTGATCATTCGAAACTCACATCAAATTGGAAAGTCTACCGTGCGCTACTTGCTCACGCCAGCAAACGGCTGTTTGTGTTGGTTTACGCCTTGGAACACTCAAGATGCCTAGAATTCGCGCACAACGTGGGTTCATCTTGCACTTACACCGCTACGTACTCCTCGAAAGTGGGTGGCACCACGCCAAAGTATTGCGAAATCTCGTTGCCCCCGTTCATGCATGAGTGCCAGTTAGAAAGCAGAGTGGCTACCCGGTACTGCTTGGCGACAGGGCTTAGCAAGAATTTCTGCTGCGGCTTCATGCTCACAAAGGCCCACTTGCCGGTCATCTCTTTGAATCCCCACTCCACCGTTACGCGGCAGTGGCTCATACGCTTGTTGAAGTCGGCCATCTCTGGCGTTAGAGGGCCGACACTTGACGCGCTAAAAGGACAGACAAGGTGGTTGCTCAGCCCATACGCCGGATCTCCGTACAAACAGTACGGATGGCCTGTAGGGCTGTTTAGCATCGACAACTTCTCCATCAACCCAGACTGCGCTAGAATAAAGCTGTCATGGCGTGTCCCCGCCACGGGGCCCCACAGATCCACAAATAACCCGTCTGGTGTAATTACCCCTTGAAACTTCATTGCGTGCTTCCTCTTGTGCCCATTGTAGAACAGTCGCTGCCAGTACTTGGGCCTGCGAATCAGTTTTGGGCGTACGGAAGGATGGGCCACCAACAACACAGGTCAAGACATACACCCAACAGTCCCAACAGTCAGTGCTGCTGTATTTCATCGTTCTGCTAAACCTTCATCGCATGTTGCAATCTCGTGGTAAATTGCAATCAATCATGTGCTCGCGCAACCACACGACAGCAGTTCCACACAGATGAACATATGGTCTAGTGAGTGCGTCGTAAAACTCGAGGAACGTACAAGATGGCCTGCTGATGCTGCGTTGGATACGCGGCGGGAAAAGCAATCCGCGGGGGGAATCACGCAGCTACTCTCTGCAGTATGTAGCAAAACGCCAGAAACCGTTGAGTCGGACTTCACCTTGCAATGCCACGCACGGTGCCATCGATAAAACCCCAACAGTGAGTGAGAGGACAGCCGGAGTTGAAGATTGCTTCCGCAAACTCGATCAGGTGCGGCTGCAGGCGTGCCACGTCGAGGGACAGCAGATACCCCCACCTGAAGTCTAGAAAATGCAGCATCCAGTTGAAGGCTTCGCAGATACACGATTCGCTCAGCCCGAAAACCAAGCGCATGTCCTTCAGGCGGCATGGGAAAGCGAGCCGATACAGGAGCACGCACAGAGCCTCCCGTCCGCTTACCACGAATTCGCAGTCAGTGCGGATGAACGCGGGGATCAACAGCAGATCCAGCATCAGCATAACCTGCATCACGTGACACCACACAG